GGAGGGAGGGAGGGAGGGAAGAAGGAAGGGAGAAAGAGAAAGAAAGGAAGGAAGATGAGGGAGGAAAGAAGAAAAAGGAAGGAAAGAAGGGAGGGAGGGAAAGAGAAAAAAGAAATTAAAGAAAGAAATGAAGAAATAACAAGTGCTGGCAAGGATGTGGAAAAATTGGAACCCTTGTACACTGTTGATGGGAATGTAAAATGGTGCATCCACTATGGAAAACAGTATGACAGTTCCTCAAAAAATTAAATGTAGAATTATCATATGACCTGGCAATTCCACTTCTGGGCATATATCCAAAAGAAATTAAAAGGAGCGTCTTGAAGAGATATTTGTACACACATGTTCATAGCAGCATTATTCACAAGAGCCAAACATGGAAGCAATGCAACTGTCCACTGACAAATGACTAGATAAATCAAGTATGGTATGTAATGGAATATTAGTCATTCTTAAAGGGGAGAAATTCTGGTACAAATTACAACATGGATGAACCTTGAGAATACTATTCTGAGTGAAATTAGCCAGTCACACAAAGGCATATACTGTATGGTATCACTTATGAGTTACCTGGGATTTTCAAATTCATAGAGACAGGAACTAGAATGGTGGTTGCCAGGAGCTGGGGAGGAACAAATGGGAAAATAAGAAGTAGATATTTTTTTTTAGATATTTAATAAGTATAGAGTTTCTGTTTTGCAAGATAAAAAGCATTCTGGGCATTGTTTGTACCACAATGTGAATGTACTTAACATTATTGAGTGTACACTTAAAAATAGTTAAGACAGTAAATTTTATGTTATGTGTATTTACTATAATTTATAAAAAACTGTGACCTTAGAAAGACATGGATATGAGTCCTGGCTCTGCTACTTACTAGCTGTGTGGCCTTAGAGCAATGACATGACTCCACATCCCCTTTCTGTAAAATGGGAATAATAACAGTACTTTCTTTACAGAGTTACATTGATGAGTAAATGAGATGATATGCATAAAATATCTAACTAGCATTTGTACTGGATGCATATTTAGCTCTTCTTTGACTTCTTTGACTGCCCGCTTTACGATATATTATATTTTCCTACAATGTCCAGTCTCTCAACCACTCCAACACCCATATCCCAACATACAGACACGCACATGCACACACACACATGGTGTGAACACTTAAGGGCAATGATGGCATGGCATCTGGTTTACTTCATGTATCTTTGTATCCCCAGTGCCTGGTACATAGCAGGAGCTCATTAAATATCTGAAATGAACTGTAGCAAGAGGGTTTGACTACATAGACAAGGAAACCCTCTTGACATGAATATAGACAAACAGCGGAACAAACTGATCAAGTAATTTTAAGACCAAAAAAGAACGGTCACAGATCTGGATTAGGCTGTGTCCTTCCAAAAATGGGCATATAGAAGGACAGCTTCAGGAAAATGAAGCTGGGTAGGCATCCCATCCCCCCAGGAGGGACGGACAGTGACAACAGTCAACCTTTGTTTCCAGGGCAGGCCTAGAAACAGTGTGGTTGGTTATTGAACAATAATTAGTAACTCATTATTGGACATTGATTAGACATTCATCATACACTCATTTTTGTAGGGCTTCCATCTGAAATTTCATTAAGAAAACATCACATTACAAAGCCCGGTTCTCAAGGTAGTAAGTGTGCTTCCTTCCTGTCCTCTCCAGCCTGGGTCCTTATCTCTTCTGACCATCTTGTCCTCCTTTCCTCCCACCCATTCTGGCTCCAGCTGGTGAGCTGTTTAACCCTGTAGTCCTGCAGGCCCACCCCTTGGCCTTCAGTTAGAATTATGACCACCCCACCCCATGTGGCTGGAGTTCCCCAGACAAACTCTACCCAGTCATTTCCAGGACCTGTGCTTTCAGTCCTCTTTCATGGACCCTAAGTGAAACTGGAGGACCCTGTGGTCGTGCATTTGGACTTCATCCTGCTAAGAAGGTCTCCTTTGAGAACTATATCTCTAATGTTTCTCTATTTTTTTCACTTTCCCCATTTTTTCTCATAACTTAGCTCTCCAACTGATTTTACCTACAAGGCCCCAGGCTCTAGCTCATATAAAACAACAACAAAACACATTGACTTGCCATAACTAAATCCAGGGCTGACCTTAGAAGACATCATTTTCTTCCTTAACAATAACATTCAAATTACTGAAGACTCCAAGTTTATATTTAAAGCCAAATGTCAGCATCCAGGATATCCTCAGATACTCTAGCTTGTGGGGTCACCCTTCTGTTAATAGTTACATTTAAATGACTCGAAACCTTTTCTCACTTATGATGGGAAACAACCCAACACCTTCTCCCCACTAAATATGTTTAGAGAGTCTCAATCTAGGACTCTCCCAGTAGGATTCCGGGAGATCTCAGGGATAATATGTTTTCTTTTGTCATCTCTAGCTCCAATATCTCGTTTCCACTAAAGCATATGCATCTCCATGAAACAAGATATTGGAGCTAGAGATACTGACGCTTTGGTTTCTCTCCATCCTGTGCTGACACAACCATGATGCGGCCCCTTAACCTGTGGGGTCTGCACTAACACTGGGAGTCAGTGTTAGAATTGAATCAGATTGTTGGACCTCCATCTGGAGTTGGAGGATCAGACAGAAACTCTTCTGTGATGGGGATTGCTCTAATGGTGCCTGTGCATGTATGTGTGTTTGGAAGATCTCCAACCATATAGGTCTTGGTGACAGTCAGAATCCTGCCTCATATTTGCAGCATCCCCAAAGGCCATGTTGCAGCTGAGGTGTGTGCACAGCAATCCAAACTCAGCCAACCAGCTGCCTAGGCCAGTGACTTCATCTTTGGAGCAAGTGCTCTGAATAACGGAAGGAATGTTTATATGTTAAAGAGGGCACCCTCGTCTGGGACCCACAGCCTAGAGTGCCCAGCCCTGAGCAGGCTCTTCCTTGGTGTGGCCTCAGCTGGGGCATTGGCTGTCCAATTTTCTGCCTGTTTTTCAAGTCTTATTCTCCAACTTTCCTGGATAGTTTTAATTTTAGAATATGTCCACAAATTCTTTGATACTTCTGCCCTTCAAGAGCTGGGGCTTAATTCCCCTCTCTGTAAGGAGGGGCTGGACTTAGTGACTCACTTCTCATGAAAAGAATATGGGAGAAGTGACCACGTGTGACTTGTGAGACCAGGCCAGAAGACACACTGAGGCTGTCTGCTTTCTCTCACTCTCGGATTGCCCATATGGGAGAAGCCACCTTTTATGTCATAAGGACTCTCAGGTAGGATTATGGAGAGTCGTGCATGGGTGAGAGTGAAGCCCCATGCCAATAGCCAATGAAGTACTGATGTTTCCCATCAGCATCCTAATGAGTGAGCCATCTTGAAAGCAGCTCCTCCAGCCCCCGTCAAACTTCAGAAGATTCTCCTGGATCCTGTGAGTTTTCCTGTGGATTTATTTTCTGCTTAAGTTAGCTAGGGTCAGGGTCAGTTTCTGCTGTTTACAGACAAGAGTCCTGGCTGGTACCATTCCATATCTTCTGCCTCTACTTATGAGGCAGCTGCTAACCTCCACCCCCAGTCCACATCCCCAACCCCTCAACTCCTGCCTGTTTATCAGACAGGATAGTTCAAGTTTCTCATAACCTCACCAGCATATCCAGGTTATGTCCTAGAGCCTTCAACCTTTCTCATCAAACAGGCCATTCAGATATTTTCCTAGTTGTAAAATTATCCTCACCACTCCCTGAGAAGGTGAAAACAGCTGGAGACCACTGTGGCATTAAATGACTTGCAGCCTCCTCTCTCCAAGGCCTTCCCATCTGTCTTCCCCTCCTCATCACCGACTCGCTGCTCCCTTGGCAATTTCCCATGGTGTCCTCCTCAGTGAGTTGAATCACCTTGTCTCAGACCCCTGAGAACGTCCTTGCTTGACCTGTGTGCGGTTTTGAGCACCATTCACCACAATCCTCTTCTGAAAACCCTCTCCTTCTTCAATTTTCTCTATTGCACATGTTACATTTCTGCCCCACCTCTCAGACTCTGCTCTTTCTTCGTTTTTTAGGTTAGTCTCTCACTTCCTAAATAATGTGCCTCCTCTGGTTTCTTCCTCTGTGCTCTCCCTGAGCTGCCTCAGCCTCTCTCAGGTCTCAGCTCTCAATTAAAGAGAACTCTCTGGATCTCTAATTCTGCAGCTGACTTCTCTCCCAAACACCTGGTTCCATTTCTTTCTGTTCGGTTAACGCTAATTAGCTCTCACGCGCGCCTCAGCTCAGCACCGGTGTGTGAGAGCCAGAGCCTGCTCATCTTTTCTCCCGACTTCCCTCCTTCTATTAATGCTGTCATCCCTCCCTCTGGAAACCAGGCACAAATTCCCAGTCATCTTTGACATACTGTCTCCTTTTACTCCCACATCTCCTTGGTTGTGAAATCCCACCAAGTACCCCTCAGCACCCCCACTTCCCTTATTAGCCACGCTGGCCTCTCCCCTCTCATATTGACCTCTGGGGGTATCTCTCCACAATCTCTGCCTCCTGTCTGCACTCTGCCACTTCATCTCCCCGCCATACAGGCTCCAGAGCAATATTGCTAAGGAATAGTCTCCATCTTACTTACTGCCTCACTTAAAAACCTTCCATTATATTCAACAGTTATTGAGTTCCTATTGCATGTATATTATTTATGATTCTTTGCATGCAACCTACTGAAACCAACTTGTGCCAGTTTAAACTGAAAAGGGGGTGTAGATTACACGGATTCAGGGAGAATGCAGCCAAGCCTCAGAACTGGAAAACTCTCAGGACACCATGGCGTGCTCTCTCTCCATCCCCTCTCTGCTTTTCTTGGCATCTACTGCCTCCTCCCTGGCTGCAGAGGCCAGCTTTCTCTGATACCCAGTCTCTTGCAGGAGAAACCCTGTCTCAAAGGAGCCAAGGTTTATTTTCATCCCTGCCACTCAAAAGACCACTCCCAATAGGAATGGAGTCCTTCAGTCCCAGTTTTAAATTTGCAGGTGTGCTGCTCCAGGATCTTCTGCTTGCAAATGATGAAAACCCAACATAACTAGCTTGGACAAATCCATAATTTATAACGATCTTAAAAACACTCCTTGGAAAGAGAAGGGCTGGGACTAGACCTCCTTGACAGAGGGTGACAGGGACTGGATATCATGTATCTCCTCATTTTTCTTCTCTGACTGTGAGCATCTCTTCTTTGATACAGACCTGCACTTTACACATGTTGAAGGCCATGGCCATGACTCCCTGATGATGACTGATAAATCTTACCACCTAGGGAGCTTGACTCTTCTTTCCCAAATTCCAATTAAAAAAAATAACCTTTAGAACTCTACTTGATCCTGCTTAGGACATGTTTCTACCCCTATAGGTTCTGAAGTCGGGCTGCCTGGGTTTCAATCCTGGTTCTGTTACTGATTAGCTGTGTGACTCTTGGTACTTAAACCTCTCTATATCTCAGTGTTCTCATCTGTTAAGTAAGGATAGCAATAGGACCCATCTCATAGATTGTTATAAAGATGAAATTTAGACTGCTTAGAATAGTGTCCAGCACAAAGTCAGGCTTTGTGTGGGTTAGTTATGATGGTAATAATGTTGATGATGCTGGCAATGATGAGTGATGATGATGATGATGACAATGACAAGGACCACGGGGGAGAAGGACAGGAGCAATTTCTTGAACCACATGCTTGAGGGGAGAGGAGAAGCTCACCAAAAGAAGGGTGTATTCGTGTCCTAGGACTACTGAAAAAAGTGCCACTGGCTGGCTTAGAACAGACATTTGGTGTCTCAGTTCTGGAGGCCAGAAGTCTGAAATCAAGGTATCAGCAGGGTTGGCTCCTTCTGGAGGCTGTGAGGAAATGTCTTTTTCCTGCCTTTCTCCTAGTGTCTAGTAGCCTCAGGTTTCTTTGGTTTGTAGATGATGTTTCCCCTGTCTCTTCTTATCATCTTCTCTTTGTACAAGTCTGTATCTAGATTTCTCCTTTTAGTAAAGGACACTGGTCATGTTGGATTAGGGCCCACCCTAATGACCTCATCTTAACTGAATCATCATTTCCAGAGACTCCATTTCCAAATAAGGTCACAGTCATGTGCTAGGGATGAGGACTCCAACATTATTTGGTGGGAGGCAGACACAATTCAACCCACAATGAGGGGGATGGGGCAATGCTGGCCAGACTGGCAGCAGCTCTTCCCACCACTTAGGATTCCCAGGACTGAATATACTGATCAGGCCAGGTTGGGTCAGTTGCTCAGCCCTAGCCCTATCAACAGTAGCTTGGGAAGTGGGGTTGAAGATACACTGCACAAATTGCTCTGGACAGTGGCATGTCTCAGAGAAAGGGCTAGAATGTTGACCTGCTGGACAATCATCTCAGGTGCAGTACTCTCCAATGTGCAAAGTGCCCATCACTCAGTGGGAGGTTCCTGGAGATGAGCAAGAAGACGTTTATGCAGCAGTGATGGAGAAAGTCCCCTATGGAAGAATGAACAATGGAGCAGGTGCCACAGAATAAGTGGTCCAGTGGAAGCACAAAGCACTAGGGGAGCACGAGAGAGCGTGAAGTTCCACATTGGTGGGGAAGGGCTGGAAAGGGCCTTTTGGAGGAATGGCAGTTGAGTTCTTCTTAGAGACAAGGGGAGAATTTGGTGGGTAATGAAGATGTAGGGATAGGAGGGGAAGAGTGTGATCCTGTGGTCAGAGAATGGTGAGGAAGTAATCTAAGGTGTCAGGGTAGTCAGATGTAAAATGGAAAGTGATTGCAAACATTCACTAAGAGCTAACTGGGTGCCTGACATTATTTTATACGTTTGATGTGCATAATCTCTGTTCCCTTCCCTGTGACCTCTCCCTTGGTAAATTACCATCACTCCTGTTCTACAGATGAGGTTCAGGGACCTGCCCAAGGTTACCTGGCTAGAAGATAGTTGAGCCCAGGGTCTCTCTACTCAGTTACTACTTCTGCCCCCTCTCCTATGAAAGATTAGCTTGAAAAGCTGAGTAGGCACAGAATGTGGCTGGCTTTGCCAAGGAGCGTGGAATTTATTTTGCAGGTAACAAGAAGCCACTGAGGAATTGTAGGCAGAGGAGGACCTGATTGGGCCTTTATTTCAGGATGACAGCTTGGTGCCAGTGTGGAGGATGCTGTGAAGCAGGGAGAGATTCCAAGGGAGCGAACACCTGTCTTCTGCTACCCCACTGGGAGGCAAAAGCATTAACCAGTCATCCTTCTATATAAGACAGCACCAGGAGCCTCTGGGACCATTTGCTCAGTCGTTCTTTTTAATTTAATTTTTATTGAAGCATAACCTACATACAAAAAAGTGCACAAATTGTAAGTGTGGCTTGATAGATTTTTCATCAGATGAACATACCTCGCAGTTTCGTTCTTTACATTAACAAACCCAAATAATTCCCTATCAAACGTAGCTCTGAACCCACCACTCTGACTACCCCATCCTTCTCTGGTAAACCTCTTACTGATTAATATGGCTGAACGCTTTCTGCTGGAGAAACACAGTGTCCTTCCAAAGTGGTATGGGCAACAGCACTAACTCTGAGTCACACTGTCTAGACTCCAGGCTTCCCCTGACTCACGGTGCAGCCTGAGACCACACAGTTCTTTCACCTCTGCAGGGCTTAGTGTCTGCATCTGTAAAATGGAGGTAGAAAGGGTTAGTTTCTATTTTACAAGTTTCATAAAAATTAGCTGCAGGCTAATTTGGGAGGCCAAGGTGGGTGGCTTGGGATCATGCCTCTAATCCCAGCAGTTTGGGAGGCTGAGGTGGGCAGCTTGGGATTGTTTGAGCCCAGGAGTTTGAGACCAGCCTGGGCAATATGGCGAAACCCCATCTCTATGAAAAATACAAAACATTAGCCAGCCATGGTAGCAAGTGCCTGTAGTCCAGCTGCTCAAGAGGCTGAGGTGGGAGGATAGCTTGACTCTGGGAGGTCAAGGCTGCAGTGAGCTGTGATTGTGCCACTGTACTCCTGCCTGGGTGACAGAGTGAGACCCAGTCTCAAAAAAAAAAGCATTATAAATATAAAATCTATAGAAATGTATAAAATTAATAAAACATAACAATATATTATGTTTATATCATAAAATGCATAATTTATATTATTGGTACCATGAATTAATTAAATAAATGGAATAATTATTGGCCATCACCATCTTTGATGGTGTCCATTCCATTTACTTTGATATATCTTTACAGAGATGTTTCTATGCCATCTGGAGGCACAGTGCTGTGGGGGGCACGGTGCTGTGGGGGACACAGAGGAAAGGAAGATGCACCCTTCCTACCCCCGCCCAATAAGCATTGGAGATTTAGTGGAGAGCGGTGGAGAGGTGTGCAGTGTGGAAGCCAGGTACACAAATGACCTTTAAAAGATTCTCTCGGCCTCAGCCAGTGTGGTGTTTTATGGGGCCCTGATGGAGCTTGAGCTATTTACTATCTCTGCTTTGCTCTGAAGATTTCTGCCTGCGGACAAGGGGGAATTGAGGCCCAGACTCAGTAGTGATGGTTGGTTAACCCTTTACGCCCCAGAGTTGGTGATTAGGGTTGGACTGGGAGCCAACTTCAGCGGCTAAGCTTTGTGCTGCATGTTGCATTTTCAGTGATTAGTGATTGTATTTTCTCCTCTTCCCTCACACACTTCCAGCCAGGTCACTCTCAGACTGCCTCTCCCCTTCATTCAGCTCACATCCTGGGGGACAGGGAACTTCAGGCCCCAGGGGAGGGGTCTGCCTGCTAAGTGACCCATTATCACCACTGGCCTCCTGGAAGGGCAGTTGCCCAGCTCTGCTTCTCCCCTTCTCCTATGGAAGCAGGCTCCCTGGGGTACTTTTCCATGCCTTCCAAGCTCCAGTGTGAGTGGCTGAGGGCAGGAAAAGCCATGGTGAGTGGAAATCAGCATTTTGTGGGATATCTGAATCCTGCTTCTCTGGGATTCATTTCTGTAGTATGGAATCACAGAAAGGATGCTGAGGTGAAAGGGTTAGAAGTTGGAAGCCTTGAACTCGAGTCTACATGTGATCAGTTCTGACTATCTTGCTATGTCTTTGCTTCCTGGAGCTTCAGCTTCTTTGCTTATAAAATGAGAATAATACTGACCCAACTCATCTCAAAAGAGTGATTGTGCCTTTAGAACCGTAATGTGCTAGGAGGAATGTATGAGGTCATTATTCTCACTATTGTCTTTCTTCCTGGCCCCCTGTTATTGGAAAACCATATAATAGTCTTTTAAAAATAAAATTACAAAAGTAATACATGCTTGAGACATACACTATAAGTAGTAGAGAAGGGCCCAAGGTGAACAGTTCAGATTCCCTTCACGCTCCCCACTCCCACGCCTCCAAAACCATCCTTCTAAGATCGCTACTCCTGTTCGTTTCTTATGTATCTTTTCCGACTTCTGTGTGTAAACAAGTGAATATGTGTGTAATAGGGTTCTTTTTACCTAAATCAGATTATACTGTACATCTCTCCTGCACCTGGCTTCTTTTTCATTCAGAATTTTGAAGAGCTTTTCATTTCAGCACAAATAAACTCTTTTTAGTGGCTACATGATAGTCCAGGATGTGAATGTACTACCATGTGTTTACCAAGCCCTAAAGCTGAACATTTGGAATTCCTATTTTTGCTTTTTTTTTTTTTTTAATTTGAGACAGGACCTCACTCTGTCACCCAGTCTGCAGTACAGTGGCATAATCATAGCTCACTGTAACCTTGAACTCCTGGCTCAGGCAATCCTCCCACCTCAGCCTCCCAAGTAGGTAGGACTGCAGGCACATACCACCATGCCTAGCTAACTTAAAAAAAAAAAATTGTAGAAATGAAGGTCTCACTATGTTGCCCAGAATGTCAAACTCCTGGGCTCAAGCGATCCTCCCACCTCGACGTCTCAAAGTACTGAGATGACAGGCGTGAGCCACCGCACCTGGCCTCCCATCCTTTTAAGGTCCCTTAGGTGGCAGTTCGGAAGCTCCACAGTTGTCCCTGACTTTGTGCTCTTCCTCATTTCGTCCTCTTAGGAGTCCTTGGGGCCCATGGGAGCTGGATGTAGCAGGCATTTCCGGCCTCAGGATGGGAGGAGCTGTGAGAGACTTGTCGGCACCCATGGGCTGAGGTCTCCGGGGGCACAGGAAACAGAGGAGGAAACACTGGGGCTAGGGACATCAGTCACTGTCCCTGTTGACCTCCGCAGTCTCCGGGACTGCCTCCCAACCCATGCAGAGGTGCTTGACCTGGCCTTGAAATAGAATCACCTGGAAAACTTCTGCCATCTCAGAGCGAGACCACGCCCCAGGCCAATTAAACTAGAATCTCTAGGGTCCAGCCCTGGATAGCAGTAGTTTGAAATATTTCAGGTGATTCTGTTGTGCAGCCACAAAACCTACAGTGCCTAAGCCTGGAAATGAGAACATCATGACAGGCCGGAGGGCCTTTGCTTTCTTCCTCTTTTCAACTATGAGAGCAAGATGCTTATCCCATAGCACAAGCACCAGAATGCATTTAACCATCATGCATCCACAATGTGTACATGGAGTGGTTCTTATTTTATTCCTTGACAAGTTTTTATTTGGTTGCTCTTTTGACTCTTATTCAAAATTGTTTATGTAAATTAGTAAGAAGTTTTTAGCAGACAATTTGGCAATATGTATCAAGAGAATAAAACTGTTCAGAATCATTGGCCTTCTTATTCCACTTTTGGAAGCTATCCTACAGAAATAACATGAATATAGTGGGAAGCTATATGCGTAAGATGTTCATTGCAGCATTATTTATGCTAACGAAAAGCTGGCAAAACCTAAATGTCCAATGATACAGGAATGTATAAGTAAACTGTGGTACATCTATTTGGTAGAATATTAAGTAATCATTAAAATTATGGTTATGAAGCCAAAGTAATAACATGGAAAATGCTTATGCCATAAAGTTAAATAAAAACGTAGGACACGAAATTGTGCAGATATACTATAATCACAACTATATGCAGAGGAAACTAAATATAAAGGAAGTAGAAAGTAAAAAACAAAATGCTAACATAGATTATGTTAGAATGATAAGACTAATTCTTTTTCCTACTTTCCAGATTTTTACAACATGATTACATTATTGCTTAGCTGAAAACAAACCATAAAAACAAAAAATGTCTGCCTTGTGCATTTTTTCATATGTCTATCAGACTGGAGACACCCTAATGTTAAGATCCCTACAAACAATGCTAAGGCCACCGTGCCACACGTAGTGCTTCGGGCTGCCTGCAAAAGGCCTGACAACGATAGATCAGAAGTCAGAGGATCTGGCTGTTAGCCCCAGCTTTAGCTTCACACTTTGACCTTGAGCAAGTTTTTCCTCCTTTCTGAACCTCAGTTTCCTAATCTGTGAAACAATAGATTCCACCAGGAGGGTGCTCAAGAACCTGCTGGCTCTGAAATGCGATGATCATGACATGGATGATGATGAATATGATACTATTGAATCCCAATTGCGTTAAGATCCATCAAATGGGAGACTAAGAGGCAGAAAAGTATCTCCCCTAAAACATATGCAGGCAGGCTGCCCCTGCTTCTTATTTCTACGTTCAGAATTGCTACCCTCCACCCTTTAAATCCTGAAAAGCATAGCTGAATAAATGTAAGGCAAATCACGCCCCTCTGTTCAATATTTGGTCATTTCTCTCCATATCACTTGCATGCGATCCTGATGACTTGTAAATATAAGGGCCTCTGAAATAAGCAGGAAAGTGTTTGGAGCCAATCAGGAAACCCTGCTCCGCCCCCACCCCTGATTTCTCATCTTGATAAAGTAATTTTCCTCAACAGGCAGAGGGTGGGGAGTCATAAATCAGTGGCAACACAGCTCATGGTGTCTGTGCTGCCCTCCACTTGAGAGAGATGCCTCTCTTAGATGATGTGGATGCACCAGCCTGGGGCTAGAGAATAACAGGGAGAAAGATCTGGGGTTGTTAAAAGCAGAATCATTCTGATGGGAAGGAAAATTGAAACCCCAGGATTTAAAGAGAGCAAGAAAGGTGATGATGGGAACCATGAGGCTCATGGATACATAGTGCTACCTCCCTCATCTGGCAGGAGGGAAGGAGCTGCTGGGATTGGTGTCTTTTTCACAGACTGAAGTTTAACTGTTGAAGTGCCGGTCTTGACCTTTAACCCCATTAAGATGCTTCTAGATCTTTTTTTTAGACGGAGTTTTACTCTTGTTGCCCAGGCTGGAATGCAACGGTGCAGTCTCGGCTCATTGCAATCTCTGCCTCCTGAGTTCAAGCAATTCTCCTACCTCAGCCTCCCTAGTAGCTGGGATTACAGGCATGCGCCACCACACCTGGCTTATTTTGGCTTCTCCATGTTGGTCAGACTGGTCTCGAACGACCGACGTCAGGTGATCCACCAGCCTTAGCCTCCCAAAATATTGGGATTACAGGCATGAGCCACTGTGCCCAGCCTCAATCTTCTTAAATGTCTGTGTAAGACATAAGCTAGCCTTTTTCTAATAATGCAAGGGAAAGGAACCAAGAGTTATATTATCATATATCTATTTGGGTAATTATTTGGGGGAATGCCTGTATTCCCCATGGGACCATAATTTCCATGAGGATGAGGACCGAGCATCCCAGTTCTCAGGATGTGCCTGGCACAGACATATTTGTTGAATGAGGCACTCAAGACCTATTTGTTGAATGTGTGAGTGCGTGAGAACCCCCGGACTGTAATAAGCTGTATTATGAAAAACTCTCTGCACTGTATATATTAGAAAATGGCTCTTGCTAAGCTAGGCAAAACTGGAGATGTATCCAAGGGCTTTATGGGGTCTATAAAGGAGCTGTTGTACTGAGAATTGACTAGGAACCAGCTGGAGCCCTGTGGAGCCAGAAAGAACTCCTTCTTCTCACCCCTGCTTGTCTCTGGACTCCTCCCTCAGTTTCTCGGTCATTGGGGCTCATCTTTTTCTGCTCTGTAGAACAGGGACGTCTTCATCTTTTATTGGTCCTCTGTTTCCAGGAGCGAGATTGGCCTTTCTTCATTTTTTCAGTTCCTCGGCTTCCCAGGATAGGACTGTAGTTGGCCCGGTTTGGTCGGTGATCATCTCAGAACCGATCAGCTGTGGCCAAGGCGTCTTGGTATTAATAGGATGACTGGCGTGGAAATCGTGTAGGTGGAATGGGCGTGGGAGTCCCCGGACAAAGGGATATGGATCCACAAAACAGTAGGCACTCACTACATTCACACCATCTCCTTTAACTTTTTGTTTTGCTTTGTTTTCAATAATTTTATAAGGCAGGTGGGCCTATTATCTGCACAAGCAGAAAAACTAAGGTCAAAAAAAGGATAAGGTATTTGGCTGAGGTCACACCCCTAATGATTGGTGGATACTAGAGGCAGGAGTGGCAGGAGAGAGGTGGCAACAAAGCCTGGGCTGTCCCTCTGTGCGGTGCAGGCTTCTGGGTCAGCCTCCCAAACACTTCTTTGTACTGTGGTAATTGCAGCAGACAGGATAGCCCAGAGGGTTGAGTGATCACTGACCCCAGAGAACGCCCTGCAAATTGCTCTCTTGGAAAAGCCCCAAAGTCAGCTTGCTTTCTGGCTATTTGTTTGTCTCTCTATATTTTTTTTTTTTCCTTTTTCTTTGGGACAGAGTTTCGCTCTTGTTACCCAGGCTGGAGTGCAATGGCGCGATCTCGGCTCACCGCAACCTCCGCCTCCTGGGTTCAGGCAATTCTCCTGCCTCAGCCTCCT